TAACATCAGTAGCGGCAAAGAACAGGGTTGTATCATATGTGAACTTGAAATTGTACCAAAAAACGTCGCGGCCCCCCACCCTTGACAGGCATGAGATGGCAGAGACATACAGCAGCCTTGAAAACAAAATTCCAAATTACGTTTCGGCAACTATATCCTTTGTTACCTAGTACCTCCAAATTGAGTTTGATACACAAAGTTTGCCTATATAAAATGATTATACCAGCCATTACTTACGCATGTGCGGCTTGGTGTTTTCTTGCCAAGACACACATGCAAAGTCTTCAAGTACTGGAAAGTAGAACTTTGCGAACAGTTTGCAACGCTCCATGGTATGTCTCAAACGAGACACTATACAGAGATTTTGACATTCCTTACTTGAGGGATCATGTCAAGCTTCAGGCGCAGCGACGTTATAGTCAAGTCGAATCGCACAGCAACCCTATGTTGCGCGACTTAGTGGACTACACAGTGGAGCAAGTTCGTGAACATTCAAGGATACGGCTCGCACTGTAATCAAAAATTAGCGCCAACTTTTAGTAAACTAAAAATTACACTCCAAGGTAGCCGAATCAAAATTTGTTTAGTTCACCTCAAAATTAATCCGTGTAACAGATCAAAAGGCCTAGGTGTCTGTTTTTCTTTGCTCTTTCCCTTTTTTCTTCTCTTTCTCTTTTTCATTGACATTGTCTGGTTGCTAGACAACCAGGACTACCAGATTCGACTAACGTACATTAGACAGTGACTAATGGGCTAAGGCCCTACGGACCTCCCAGACAAATAAATGATGAATAGTATTGAAGCATGTAGTTGATGTGTTGCAAAATCCATGACCATGTACTGATTGACATTTACAACTTTAAACTTTTTTTAAGTAGAGCGTACTATTTCTTTCCATTCATCGGGAATATGCATATGGCCATTTTTCACGAAAGCGTATGCGTTTCTTGCCTTTTTAGGGTAGACTTGCCTGATTTATGCTACCAATACTTGACCAGCAAGTGAAATGCTATTCTATTTCACATTAGATGCCTTGGACTTGCTTGCAACAAGCAATTTTTTTATAAAAATTGGACTTACCTGGTTCTTGCTCCGAAGTCTTCAATTGTTCACTAAATAATAGAATATACACGATAAAAGTGTTCAGATATACACGATAAAATATTCTCATGTGAATATAACTTCATTAACTTGATTTTTTGGCGTCAGGAATAACACGATAAGATTCTCACTAAAATGTACTGACACTTAATAAGAAAAACAAAATTAATAATGCTTTGGTTGACCCCGCAGCTAAATACACTCATGTATAAGGCGACGCATCGACAAAATGAGATGATCGATATCTGGTTGTGGCACCTTGTTCCAAGCACCTCGAACTTCATGGATTAGCTGTGGTAGAGTCTGTGGCGGTAGGTGCAAAGCAGAAAGTCTCCTCCACATCATATCCCACACATGTTCGATTGGATTTAAATCCGGTGAAAGGGGCGGCCGCAGCAAAACATTAACGCCTGCTTTCTGAAGAAAGTCCGTAGAACGACAATCAACATGAGGACGTGCGTTGTCTTGATGAAAAAGGACATGTGGATGGCCCTCTAGATAGGTACGTCAGTAAAGTTGTTTGTAGGAAATCATACTGCCTTGAACAAAGAGAAGGTGAGATCAGTTACCATAGGCAACAGCCCCACAAACCATTGCTCCAACAGTCCTGTGTACATGCTTCTCAACAGCAAAACCAATTTCACGCCGTTCTCCATGGTCACTCTACGACCATCTTGCGTACCTAGACAGAAACTGCCATTATGCCATTATGCCATTCTGTCTCCCAGTGTTGCCATTCTCTGCACCAGTTCAAACGTTGACGACAGCGGTCCGCAGTCAGAGGAACCACTAACCGTGGCGGGTAAAAAAGTTCAGAGGCGCGAATGCGGCGATAGAGTGTACGCATAGCCACAGGTCTACCTTCTTCGCTAAACCATTGCGCAGCAAAACGGTATCGTATGGCTAGTTGTCCGAAGCGCTTATCTTGACGCTCTGTGGTACGCCTCGGTGGACCAGTGGGCCTTCGTGCTCCTCTACCTTCTTCTATCCACACACCATACACACGCACTACCATCACTAAAGCACAATCAACACGGCGGCCAATTTCGCGATAGGGAAAACCAACATCTTGATAGGCAATAATTCTGACCCTGTCAAAGTCGCTAACATGGTGATAATTTGGACGTCTTCGAACTTCGAGACATTTTGTTAGGCTTAACACTAGTATATGAGACAGCAGTAACTAAAAATATCTGTACCACTCAGCTCTCAGAAACTGCTTTCTTCACAAAACATTGTTACCACAAAATCTTTTTAATTCAGTCATTATGTTGCAAAAAACAAGATGGAGAAATTATTTTTTCTGGGTGTAACCCTTCTAATGTCATTGAGTATAGTAATACGGAGCTCATTTGAGTTGTTTTTAGAGCATTTTGATTTTTAGCAACCATGCCTTGCTACAAAATTGACCAAGAATGGGTCATTTTCGGGAACATGGGCCCGACTATCCTTCTAACACGTTTTTATGTTTTGAAATATCAAAGCGAATGTAGCGACATATAGCGATCGCAGTGGCAAATATTCTATATATACCTCGTTATACACCTCAGGATATAAAACTAGTCGACCATTAATGTCTTTCTTCTCAACATGTCTGTTGTCCTTTCCTCATTGTGAACTCTACTAATAGTTTATCTAGGGACCCGCAAAGTCTTAAAATAAGAGAGGCTATATACCGAGAACCTCCTAAGCACTAAATTAAACGAACCTGAAGCGGCACAAATAATCCGGGAGGTCTGTGTTAACTTCCACTTAAACTAATTGCATTTAATTTGTATGGAGCATGAAGCTGATTCCCGTTGTCACTGGCGGAAAACGACGAGGTTTTGTTCGGTGTTTACAGCAAGCAGTTGTCGAAAATGCTCACAATACGGAATTGTGTGAAGACAGATCTAAGCAGGCTGTAAATTGGTGATCACCAAGATGCAAAAATGTGAATAAATGACGTTAAGTACCAAAAAGAACTGCAGCTATTATACAGGATAACCAGCAATTTGACCTGTTACTTGGTAAGAGGTATTGGAAACCATACTGCTTGTCGCTAATCATGCACTCCATCACCATGCTGATCACAGCAGGCATAACAGTCTTAGGTCCTTTTCTGGGACGAATTGACCGCTTACCTAGAAAAATTCTTTATACTTTCCGACACTTAATCCGGTTTTAGAAAAAATTGTAGTACTACATCTGCCCTACTTAATCTGCAAGACAATATTTTAAGTGTCTTAGATAAGAAAATGGCACTAGCCTTAATCTCTATAGACTATTCGAAAGCCTTTGATAGCATCAATCATAAATTATTACTTGCTAAATTAAATTACATAGGTCTTGACAGTGAATCCCTTTCTTTTTTCGACAGTTACCTTCATCAAAGAACTCAGTGTGTTTTTCTCAATCAAGAAATGTCTCAAGTGACAATAATTCTCTCAGGCGTACCTCAGGGCTCTGTATTGGGGCCGCTTCTGTTCCTCATATATACGTTCGACTTAAGCAAAAGTATTGATAATTCTCATGTTCAGTCATTTGCAGACAATACGCAATTGCTACATTATTTTAACCCAGATAATGTCAATAATACTACTAAAATATTACAAAACGATGTTAATAAATTAATTAAATACTCTTTAGATCACAATCTACTTATTAATCCACAAAAATCTAAAATGTTATTATTTTGCGCACAAAGAAAAACATACAATGTAACACAGCTCTTGAACATTCAGATAAATAACCAAATTTTGCAATTTTCTGATTCTGCAAAAATTCTTAGTGTTGTTTTTGATACAAAATTAAGGTTTATTGAACATGTTACAAGTCTATCTCAGAAAACCTACCTACGGCTGCGCACTCTTATAGCAAACAGGTATTTACTAAATTTTAAGTTGCTTAAAAAACTATGTGAAGCATTGGTCATATCTATACAAAATTATTGTAATATCGTATACTATACTTGTTTAGACAATTTCACTAAAAACGTTATTCCAGTTATTCAAAACAATTGTATACGATTCATTTTTGTCTTACGTAAATTTGATCATGTATCAGCGAAATATCCCGTTTTAAACTGGTTCAAAATTAATGACATGGTCAAGTATCACTATTCAGTTTTTGTTCACAAATTGATGTTCACGTCTAAACCTTATTACTTGAAGGAAAAAACTTCATTCAATAATGATGTTCACTGTAGAACTCTCAGAGATAATAATATTAGAATAGCCCTGCATAAGTCTACACTTTTTAAACGCAGTTTTTCTTACAATGTTGCTATTATTTATAATGACCTTCCTAAAGTATATAAAGAATTTTCATTACCTGTCTTTCGACAAAAAGTTAAAACATTATTACTCAACCCTCCAAACATATAATTTTTTGGTGCTTTTGGGTTTGGAAAGTATGCTTTTTTCTCTTTTTTTAAATTTCACTTTCGATGTAATGAACCAAATCTGTTTGTGGATAGTGTATTCTTTTGAACATCTGCTAGATGCTATACGGTTAGCATGCCATATAAGTCTGACATTTGGCTATACTACAATGTAATTGTGGATATAATAAATAAAGACGTCTATTATCTTATTATTACTAAGTTCTATGTAATAAAAGTGTCTTATTAGCTATTCTTGATACGCCATTGTTCATTTTCTTATATAATACTGTAATATTAAATTTAATGCAGTTCAAGCACCAAAATAAACAGTCCTCTGTCGTGTCCCATTTTCAGTAGGAGAAGCCTTATGACAAATGTTTGTTCCTATTAATGTAAATTTTTTATTAAGTTATATGTAAATAATACTGGGATACACTTAGTATCTTTAAGAACCACAGTTATATTTTTAAGATAAAGAAATAATTACGAAACTGAAAGCCAAATGTTGTCTCCAAAGTTTTTGAACAGTCCTCTGCCACAATTTGGAAATGGCGCTAAAATTATACAACACATGGGCGCGGTTGTTCTTATTGTGAAAGCGAACACATCCGATGGGAAGCTCACAAAGCTGCAGAGTGGACGTCATGATTATTTAGTGTTACCGCTGCGTTTGTCTGTGAAACACTCGTCTTGGTTGATAGTTGTAACAGTCCACTGGTAAGTAATTTTTTGTTGATTTGAGTGATTAAATTAAAACAGTTATAGAGCATTACTCACAAAGTATGTTTTCATGTCTATCTGTTCATTTTGTATAATTCTTGAATGACTGTATGCCAAGAAACATTCTTTTTTAAAACAACAGTCCTCTGGGCACAGTCATCTGACAATTTTTGCGACAGTGAACTGTTTCATGCTACAGGAGACTGTTTCTTTCAGGCAATGCCAAGTTTAATTAGCCAGACTATACTGCAGTGATAATTAATTTTCAAAATATTGTATTTCTTTCAGTTAATTCACGATTCCAGCCACCCAAAACCATGGAAAAAGTCTTAGAACAAAAACATATGGCCGAACGTTTAAGATACGAACGACCTTTATAAAAAAGAAGTCGCTGATTTGAATAGTTTCACGGGTAACCTTAAAATACACCAAGTGAAGAGAAACATATCAAGGTGTTCATTGTGGTTTCCCAAAGGCACTACCAAGCTCGTAATGAAAAGTTTGTGTTTGTGACGATGAACGCCGGCATTTCAGAATAGGCGATTTAAGATATGAATCAACCAGTACAATATCGGTGATTATGCTTTAGTAAACTTTTACGTGAAAAAAAGAAAAAAGCAAAATACCGATATGCTGCAGTGATGAATCCAATTCAGAGTTCCCCAAACTTATTTGTGTCGTAGACCCGTTGCCATGTTTTTCCGTATTGGGTAGACCCCCTACTTACCTGATATTGATTTCCTGTAAATTTCTAACTGTAGTGAAGTTTAGTGTTAAAAACTTAAAGTAAAAACACATGTTAATTTATACATTTATTATTTGAGTTTAAATTAAAACTACTCAAAATAAAATTTTGTATCTGTTATGTAAAATATACGTAAGATTAAATAAGTGCCCGCATTGAAAAAAAAATAAGAGGGATAAAATAAAAAAAGTGAAAAATAACAAAAAAAGTTTTTTGCTTAAAATAGTACAATAAGCGAGTTCGTTTATTAATTATGACATAAACGTATGTTCTACAATAATTTCACTGTTAGTTTGATTAAATTTCGCTTCTTATACGTTTAAGTTATCTAAAAATAGGCAAAATATTAACGAATTTTAGTGTGTACCTATCCTTGAATTTTCAGAATAATTTAAAAAAAAAATATTTTCTATAAAGGGGGGCTCTTTAAAAAAATCAATGCGGGCACTTATTCCCAATACGGGCATTTATTGGTCAGACACCAGTAGACATAAAATAAACTATAAATAAAATATCATAAGCAATAAGTCAATATTTTTAGTGAGAAGGATGAACCTGATGCTTTAATAATAAATTATCAACATTTGGCGTCAATTTTGTAAGGGTTCATCTTAAATCTCCTCGGCTAATGATGTCCAGTCTGTTTCTTTTTTTCGTTAGGAGATTAGTAACACTAGGTATGACGATGGAAAGGAAATTAAAAATTTCCTCGCTATATTCCATAATACGGGATAAGTAACTGGTATGTCGTTTTGCAGCCAGAATTGCTGATATCCATTTTTAAACTGAACCTTAAGTTCTTCGTTTGTACTTAGTTCAGTCAGTTCCTCTTGTATTATCACATTCGTTTCTTCTATGTCACCATATGGATTAATTATCCACGGTGGTATTACCATAGTCAAAATATCAGTCAAACCTAGATTCAAAATCTGAATAGAGGGCATTTAAATGTTGAACGTAAGTTGAAACGTCGTCTTCCTGGCAGCTTGTCTGTGACAAATTGGGGAACTGAGAAAATTCGCCCCGTCCAATATTTTGCTTCATTAGTTTAACTCTGGCAAGAAACGCTGATAAGATGGACTTTGTTTTAATCAAATTTAAACTGTCGCCTTGTAACAGTATTGTTGCTTAAGGGAATTCTTTTAATGATATCAGATGCAGGTTTGTGTAAAACAGTTTTTAAAACGTCTTCAATGGCTGGCAAAACTAACTTCTCTCCGATAGTATGCGGTTTTCCGGATTTTGCTATAAGTTACGAGATATTGTAAGACGCCCGCAAACCATCATCATTTCTTTGTGACGTCGAAGCGAACATTCTGTCCAGTGTAGGTCTCTTCTGAAATTTATCTTTGAGTGTTTGAAAGTATTTCAAATCTTTCTCTGTTTTATCAAGGTGGCATCTTCTCAGATGATCTTGCAGTTTAGATGGTTTCATAGCGTCATTGCCCAAAACTTTGTTGCATAAAAGGCACATAGGCGATTGTTTGTCCGGCAATGATGGAATGAAGCCAAATTTCAAATAATCAACACTGTACTGTCTACATTTCTTTTTAGATTCGGACATGGTATCAGTCATCTGTAGGCAAAATAAAATTATTTAAATAAGACAGAAAATCCAGCAGCTGTATATTAAAAACATTTTTTGATTTTTCCGAAAACATTCCATATTTCGAACATCTTGCAACAATTAGCTCGAATTACGGAGATTGCACTGTAATTATATTACCGATTGCTAAAACTTTCAAAAAGAAACTATTGAGGAGTACTCGTGTAATTTTGGATGATTGAATATTTAACTACTAATAACTAAAGTCATGATTGGCGTAATTTATCTATCTTTGCTAACTACGAGTACAAAACTAAAATTTAATAAAAAATAATGTACTTACTTTTCTCCAGCACTCTCAAACAAAATAACACTGACTCACTATAATTTGTGTGATATACTATCTGTTTATATTTTTTAAAATATTTTCTTAGCACTTTCCTTTTCAAGATTCAGGAAATGAATAAACGTATTTGTCCCACATTCGTATTTATAGAGTGACGAATTGAACAAGTCAGTGCAAGGTAGCGAAGCTCTGAGACTGCGACTCTCAGGTTTTTACAAGTTCAAAATGTATTGCGACCACTAAGCGAATACCAACATCCTACAACTTACACAATTTTATAAACATATATAATAAATTTTTTTCTTCATAGGTACTTTTATAAATAATGTATATGTTTTGATATTATAAGATAGTATGATGTAAGTAAATAGGTACTATCAGTGTATGTGTTGAGATCCACTATCGTCGACCCCCATATTCATTTCATGTACCCCCAAATTTTTTTTTGCTGACGTAGACCCTTTGCAGGTTGTCATAGACCCCTAGGGGTCGATATAGACCACTTTGGGAATCAATGATCTAATTGATTACGAGGAAGATGAAGTGACAGTCACATTTATGAAAATTTGTGACGATAAACGCCATACGTTAAGATTCGACGAAAGCGATGTTTCTGATGTTCCATTGGATCAAATATTGGAAAAGTTACCAAACATAAATCTAACTACAAAAGGGAAAAGATTATTTTATTATCTTCCAGCAGCTGTACCAGTGTTTTAAAAATAGATTACTATTGCACTTAAAGTGCAATAGTAAGACTGATTTGTTGTAACCTGTAAGAGTTACTATAAGAGTTACTAGTTAAGTTAGATAAAGCTTCTTAGCTCAGAAGCTGTATGTATATTAAGAAAATCAATTTTAGAATTTGTTTTTCCTAAATATCCAAACCTTATCCTAGTATAGTTGAAATAAATAAAAACAAAGACTTCGATCGCTTACATTCAATTAAAACATGTTCTTTTCTCCCATATAAACGTTCCCTGGATGAGATAACAGTCCTCTGTCGTGGTTTATTATAAATTCGTTCATAATTCGAAAATAAATAGGATTGTATGTGGGCTTTTTGAACCGGCATATTACTTTAATTAGTATCTCTTGATTTATGTATATATTTTCTTAATTTATAAGAATAATATGGTTGGGACAGTTTTGTATGGGCAACTTTCCAGTTAGTAGAGAAACACCCATTATTATTATTAATAGCAGGGACTAAGTTAGGATGAGAAGCTTTTTTGATGTCTTAAGAAGAGTATCCGTGTAACGATCTTATACTTGAAGGTTACTTTCTGTATAGTGCCTTTTGTGAAAGAACAAGCTCAACTGATGCAAGATGGCTAACTGAAAGCTGACTGCACTATTAAAAACTAAATTTACCATCGACAAGTCATCATAGATAACAAAATAATCCCATAATAGGTGTTGCCGTCAAGTCATCATATACCAAGGATAAAGCATCTGTTTGCTCGAGGTGTTTGTTATCTCGTTCTCCATTCTGTAAAACCGCCATTAATCGTTGAGTAAATTCCGGCAAGGAGGTAATTTTAAATATGGATGCGGTGAGCGGTAGTCTGGTTGGCGTAATGGAGTAATCCGGGACGGTAAGTCTCCCCGATACCCCGGAATTATGCCAGAACGAAGACACAGCATAAAACGTCGAGGAAATACGCTGGAGCGCCAGCCTCCAGCGCTTGATCTCGATTCACCGAGCCGGATTAGGTCTTGCCTCTAACGTGTATGTTGCCGGACATCCGGTATTACTTGACCGACGAATAACATACGGAGGAGCGAGGGATTTATGAAAGCAAATGGTAGGGAAGATACAGATGGTAATGAAGGAATTCCGTTACAAACGCTTACTTGAATACCGACAATTAAAACATTGATTGGAATTTTTATTTTATTTGGAAGAGCTATTTTACAGTATGTCTGTTCGGAGCTTTCTTTAATTGGAAATAGCTATGCTACAAGGTACTGAAAATTTCCTAAAATTAATATGAGTCTTTGTCCTCTACATCCTATGTATCTTTCCCTGACATGTGCCTTTATATGCAAAAAATGTTCTTCTGTACAAATTAACCAATAAATAATAAAACTCGTCATCCTTTGCCGACTATATTCGTCCTTAAAGTGGCATTTTGCTTCTTATACAACTGTAAAAACTAGCCTTTGTAAGTGTAGCGCGCTGAGATCAACAGCGACATGCAAGAAGCCACCAAGATAGTATTTGGGGAATAACTAAATATTGAACGAAAGAAAAAGAAAATCTAACAAAATATAAATGAAATCAAACAATAAAGTCGGTCTAGTGCAATATGTGTACAAATATATCTTAGTATAAAATTCATATTACGATCGTATGATAGGCGTCAAACTATACTCCCCTCGCCAGCTGGCGAGGATGTGCTGTAGTCGGGGGATGTTATGTTTTCTAGATGTTAATCATTTCCGTCTATCTGTCTGTCTGCTCATACTTGACCTCCATGTAACCTAGAAAGTACCTTTTAGATTTTGCCGAAATTTGACCGTAGGGATGGAAAATTTTTGTAGGTTTTGAAAATCAATCCAGTGGCGCCGAAGCTCCAGGCAAGAAGCAAGGCAAATGAACAAGTATTTTTGAAAATTTTATGAAGATTAAAACATTGGGACTGGGGTTGTGTGAGGGTATATCTCAATTTCTTGCCTTTAT